GTGGTGCACCTGTTCCAGCTAACATTAACCATAACCATATAGGAGAGTTAGACGTGTACATCCAGGTGGACGAGGTGGGAGACGCTCCCCGACACTTAGCCAAGTCTCTGTTACAAACAGAAAGTAGAGGTCATGGAGGAAGTGGAGGCATTTAGATTTATTCACACGAGATCTCTCATTAACCAGACACTGGCCAAACTGGATGAGCAACCCTCCCCATTCATCCAGAGGACGCCTCACCAGCTCGTGGTCCCCGGTGTCTGCAGCTTTTGGTGTTTGTAACTCACAAATTAAGGTCACATGACTGAAACAATAATAAAAATGTCTAAACCTGCTGTAATACTATGTAAAACTAAAGGTAGTGTCATATTATCCTTTTGTTTAATTGAACTTTTTTTGGTGGGAAATTTGAGCATCATATGTAATCCATGACCACACAGGTCTGACAGATCTGCTTACACTAGTTAATGATTGCAATGCAAAAATAATGTTAGAACACAAACGCGTTACCTGCAGGAAGGAGAATGCAGCTCCCTCTGAGACGTCCATGATGATGTCACCCAGCTTCAGCTCCACCTTTCCGGACTTCCTGATCTGCAGCTTACCCAGAAATCCTTCTGGGAACTGCGAGAGCACAGGACAGCCCTCTTTCACTGCACTCTGAGTACACACACACACACACACACACACACACACACACACACACACACACACACACTCTTTAGAAGCAGTTACAACAGTCCACTGTGCTTCAGTGAGGCTTGACGATGCAGACCACAGATCACGTGATGGTGTTTCAGGCTGAGTGTTTCCTGTGCAGTGGGTAAAATGCGAAGTCAAAGCCACGCGTGAGATGTTAGGAGCCCTGGTGTCTGAACCTGACTGTGGCTGATTTGGGGATTCTGAATTAGACACCGGTGTGGATGTGCGTGTAACATCTTGTTGTGTTAGTACTGTTATGAGTTGGTGACCTATGCAGGGAGTACGCTGCAGCTTGTTTATGTTTTTATGGTCTGCAGGGCAGCGTCCTGCTGGGGGTAGCTGCTGCTGCCTTGGAGGGCAGCACTGGGTCCACAACAATCTTTATGTGGGTAGCACGGATGAAGCGTTGTTTCAGCCGCTTCCAAAACACCTGAGAATGAACGAGGACGTGCAACAAAATCCAAAGGGAGGATTTTAGTCCTGGAATCTGTTCCACAAATCAGTGAATTTCGCCAGCAGCTGCTTTACATAATTTTGTAAAATTAAATTAACATAGCATAACATAAATATCTGTGATGAGAGAGGTGTTCACCGCCTCTGTGCTGCAGGAAACACTTGTACAGCTGTCAGGCAGAAACACTGCTGAGCTCTAGGTTTGACCTCACTGGCACAGCTTAGCTGTTTCTGTCAGCGACCGTTAACTAAGGACGTCTGCAGGAAGAGGACTGCATGCTGTACCACTGTATTAGGCTGGAAGCAGAAGATGCAAACAAAAATGGCCGAGGAGCTTATGGATAGATGCAAACAAAGCTTTCAGGGCTGATGTTAGGAATCCCGCTCAAACATCTGGATGGGTCCGTCCTTTAACATGTGTTTATCCCGTCTACTCACTTTTGCTTGAAGATGTGGAGTCCTCTTCACTTCATGCTTGCCCTCCTTTGTTGCAGGCGTCTCTGCTGCAGGCCCAGGAGCCAGGTCGACCTTCGCTCCAGACGCTCTACCTGGCATGCAGTCGGGCAGCTGCATGAAGAAGAGCTCCTCCCTGCCGGACAGGCTGAGATCCTGCAGCAGTTCTACCAGCGACGGCTGCTCTGATTTAGGCCGCTCGGTCCTGCTGGTCCCTGCACAGGACTGAGGTCTGAACACAGTGGGCCTCTCTGGACCTGCCATCACAACACAGAGTGATCACTACTCACAGACAGACATGCAGGAGCTCAGTGAGGACACTGTCTGTCGTCCACCACATCACTCAGTGCAAAGTCAGTGAGCTCTGCTACTCTGCTGCCTGCCTTCATCAAGGCCTGCAAAGGGTAGCTCATCTTTCCCTCTGCTGCCCACGCAGGTCCCTTCAGCTCCTCCTTTTTTAACTTCCCTTTGCTTTACCCTTATTCATCAGGTCAGCGTGACTATTTAGTGATAACAGATCATAGATCTTCATACATCTACATCTCCTCATGACTGATCACACCATCTTTGATTAAGAATCATTACTTTCCATTTATCATTCATTGACTGACACATTTCCTGCACGTCTTACCAAACATGGCACATTAACAGTCACGTTATTGTTGAAGTGGAAACAGCAGAGCCTAAACTCTGACGTCAGTGCTGTGACTGAGTGAACTGCTTGTGACGCTGTGCAGCGTGGGAGGTTTTCTCACGTGTCCTGGAGGTCAGAGTGCGACTGCTGGACTGACACAGAGGCAGCTGGATGGGCTTCAGCTTTGCATCATTCCTCAGACCCGGATCATCGATGAACTGTAGGTACAGATGCATAACATTAGTTTCCCAATGGTCAGCTGATTATCAGCTGACTGTCATGAAACACTGCACTCACTCGCAGGCCGACGGTCAGTGGTGCAAACTCTTACAGCATTAAACTGTCTGAACACTGCTCACACACATAAACCTAGGGCTGCTCGATTATGGCAAAAATGATAATCACGATTATTTTCACTGAAATTGAGATCTTTATTTAACCCTTTAAGACCTACTATAGAACCAAGTCCACCAGAGCTTATATTATTTTTATTTATTTTTTTACATGCTGTAGTGCCATTTGTGGGAGCATTTCAAGTTGCTATACATCAATACAACTGTTATAGCCCATATTTTAATAATATGTATGCATTAAGTCCATAGTAATTACATAAATTGCAAAAAAGTGCAATAAACTACAAAAAAAATTGAAAATCGCTTTTGTTTTGTTTACATATATTTCTACTTGGAGAAGTTTAAGAGGTTTATCCCTCAAAACTTTAAATACAATAAAGTTGCAAAAAATAGTTTCCCACCACAGGAAATTTATTTTGAGTGTCTTCATAGTTTTATTTTGGAGATACAGCAATTTTTATATACTGCAGGAAAAACAAAAACAATCCTATGATGCAAATTTGCAAAGAAAACAGCAGGTGCATCATTTCACTGTGGGAAGTGTTACGAACAGCTGATAGGAACGGCAAAGCCTGTTTCTGGAATATTATGTTTTTGTTCCTGCAAGCGCTTTTTATGCAATTTTTGCAAAGCTATATGTGGAAGGAAACCGTGACCGAGGACAAGCTGATGGCATCAGATGTAAGTACAACTCCTCCGGTTTCATATGCAAAACAAATTATTGCGCTAGCTTACACGGTTCAGGTTCTACAGGGATTTAAAAATAGTTACGCAAAACAGAGCGTGCTGCTCTGACCGGCTTTAAAGGGTTAACAATGACTTTAAAAAAATAATATAACATAGTGTGCAACACCACTGAAGTTTGTTTTTACCTCTCTTTTCAACCAACAGCAGTCACTCTCCAAATAACTTCTGCTTAGCTTTCCGAGCTTCCCTCGGGTCCTCTTAATCAGCGGTCTCCAACCTTTTTTGCGCCACGGACGGTTTATGCCCGACAATATTTTCACGGACCGGCCTTTAAGGTGTCGCGGATAAATGAGGGAGGGGCTAATAATCGGCTCAGTCATTTTTAATGATCGTTGAAAGCCCAGATCGTAATCGTGATTAAAATTCGATTAATCGAGCAGCCCTACATAAACCTGCTCTGCGGATCAGCTGATGGTGTTACAGACACCTGCTGCCAGCAGGGAGGTTGGAGAGTGCCCTCTGGTGGACAAACGATGCAACCTTAACGCTCATAATGTGCTTCCTTGTGTGACGTTTTTTGTTTCCATTTCCGGCCGTTACCAACACATCTGCAAATGTGACCTGCCAATACATCAGGTGAAGCACTGAGGCAAAGGGCCTGCTGACCTGCAGCTGAGGGTCGATCCATAAAGATGAAAAGTGGAGCTCTTTGCATCTGTTGGGTTCTTTTAATCTTTTGGTGTCTGTGACACACACGACTGCATCGGTGCGGTTTCACTGCACATGCATGAACAGGAGGAGGGGGAGAGTTCATACCCTCACACCTTTTTACTTGCTGTAATATGTCAAAACAATGATTTCCAAGTCAATGTGAACACGTTCCAGAATAAACACGAGAAGTGAGAACAGCTAACGTTTATGGGCTCCTGACTACAGTTTTAATTCATCTTTAAAGCTTCACAGGAACGAAACAGGAAGCACTCACATCATCTCGCTGAAGTTTACCGAGTATCTCATCTTCCTCTTCCTCCTTTGTCTCTTTCTTGAGCAGTTTGCAGACAGGAGAGGTGGCAGACTCCTGCAGGTGTGTAGCACCATGCCAGCCTGTAGGCAAAAGCACTGATTGAGCGCGATGAAGAGGAAATGCAGCCTGGAGAAAGACATCCAACAGAATGAGAAGAGGGCTGTGGGTGTGCACCTGTTTTGCACACGCTGTCAGCAGGACCCTGTTCAAAGATGGAGTGGGACTGGATGGTCTGAGGCCGCTCCTTCCTCCTCCCTCTGCTCTCTCTCCTCCGCTCATTCCTATCTCTTCTCTCCTTTTTCGGAGCCACGTGGATCTCCTCCTTTAGCCTACAGGTGTTCAGGATCATTAAATGACACAGTGCATACACAGATGAAATTCTCATACTGTCGTCACTCACTCGTCTTTACTCTTCCTCACGGCGTGGACGTTAGGCTCAAAGGTTTTCTGTTGGTACAAACCAGGAGAGAAAAGAAACACGTATGTCCTCATTAGGATTCAAACGAGGTGTGAATGCTTTTCTACTCAACTACATGGATATTATTATGAATTATAAACCTTACTTTTAAAACCTGACCAGGAGTTAACAGGCATCAAAGCAAGAATGTGAGCTGTAGCGCTGACCCTGACCTCTTTCCCTGTTTCTATCAAATCCTGGATTAAAAAAACAGAAAAACTTCCTTTAACTCCCAAACTGACCAAGCTGCAGTCACTGTCCTGACTGCTACTGTCTGCAAATGTTCACAGTGCTAAGTTAGCATTTAAATAACACCTTTAACATCCATGTCTCTGTATTTATATATGTGATATATTTCTATTTCTGCTTACATCCTTTTGTAACTTCTGTCGGTGCTGTGCTCCTGGAAACAGAATTTCCCGGAGGAAGCCACCCGAGGGATTAATAAAGTTTCATCTAATCTAATTTAATCTAACTTGTTTCTTCTCTGCCTTCATCTGCTTCACATCCATGGCCCATTCAGAGCCCCTGACGAACCTAACTCACATGTTTTGTATTTACACTGTTGTATACTTGTTGGTTTATCTGGAACTGTGAGCGTGTGGTTTCTACGTGTTCTCCGAGTATCATGTTTGTACACAAACGAGCAATTTGTTCCAGTATATATAACACAAACATCTCTATATGAGTAAGTAAACACAAACGAATTTTATACAGCAACTGCGTGCAGATACAGAAACACAAATCAGAATGAACAAATGTGTGCAGGGTTGCCTGAGTATTAGTGTTACTGTAACACGTGATCAGGGGGCGGGGCTTGGCTGAGTGGACTGTAGGAGAGACACAACATGCCACATGACCACCGAGTCCCCCCATCGTAACACGATAACGCCATCAGATGTCTGCAGAGAGAAGCCCGTGAACGTGTCAGCAGACTTATGACCCCGGGATTACACTCACGGGACTGTGCTTTATTATTTCCACTTCACGCAAAATAAGCACGCGGCATTATTAACACCGGGGCTGTGCTCGGTTACCTTAGTCTTTTTGAAGCCTCCCCCCAGCGTCAGGTCCCGGGTTCTGAGGGACGTCAGTCTTCCAGGCGGAGGTGGGGAGGTCAGAGTCCTGACCCGGGCCGCGAGTGCTCTCCCCAGCCCGCTGCTCGGGGAGGAGAAGCCGGGAACACTTGCTGCATCCCCGGAGTCGCTCATGTCGCGATACCTGCTGTGCTTCCTCTCAGTATTTTTAATGCGTGTCCGTTCAGCTGTTTCTCACGCAGGTCTGTTAATAAACGACGGCTTTTATTTTGAAAATAGGGCTGTTAAAATCCGGTATTTGTTAGCCGAGCGCCCACAGCTCATGCCCCACTGGTCCCTCGGTGTGCCTCAGAACTAGTTTGTTTCACTGAGGTAACAGTGATCCTTAGCGGGGCTCCTCTAAGCTAAACAGCAGCTCGTTCCCCTCCGTGTTGTTTCCACGCGCCATATCGCAGCAGGAAGTTAATCCAATCTGGTTGCAAACGCAACACCGTCTGCCGCGGTTACTGGGTCGCGGTGATGATAAACAGTGTACTGCGTGCAGATGTCCTCTCAGCCGTAACCGACGGAGTGTCCTGTCGGTGGATGCAAAATAAATCAATTGCAAACAACGGTGCCAACAAAGCACGACGCACTTACTGCACGAAGGCGCTGAAACGGCTGCAACACCGCTTTGCTTTTGCCGCCTGCTGTATTGGTCCCGGTTAAACGGCTCTAATTTCCTTCCGCAGTTCGCTGCTATTGTTCTCAAGCAGCACTACACCGGAGCCACCACAAGATGGCGCTGTCTGCGTAGCCACGAAATGTGACGCATGTCAGTTTCTTTACGGAAGCAGTGGGTCATGGTGCCATTTAGTGAAAGTGGTTAATATATTTTTCACGAGTTATTTTTATAAATATGTTTATATTTATGATATGCTATACAAAAATGACCAGAGATGGTCTTTCCCTCCTTGACTCCGCCCTCAAACCAGCATTCCTCCCTGTCCAGGATGTTACATCCTCATCACTGAAAGAGTGTCCACTGGCCTGTAGGTGTAAATAGGCTGCAGAGTCCTGGCCTGACGAGGTGGCTCTGCTGTGTTGTGCCGTCCTCTTAGTCAGAGGTTGTTTGGTTTCCCTGATCTATGAATCCGATACTCCTGACACGTACGGGATCACTACAGGTTTTGCTTAGGCAGCGGTTGTCCTTCTCTCCTGGATCGGAGCTTTCTTTAGGAGCCTTCCCAGCTTTGACAAAAGTCCAGCTGGGATAACCACATTTACTCAGGGCCTTCTTGATGTTCTTCTGCCTCCCTGGCTGCTGTGTCAGTGGGGATGGTGTTCGCTCTGTGTGGTAGCGTCCTGATGACGCCCAGTTTGTGCTCCAGTGGATGATGAGAGTCAAACCTTAGATACTGATCCGTATGCGTAGGTTTACGGTACTTTTAGATGTCCCCCATTACTGATGGAAATCTCACAGTCTAAGAAGGCTAACCTGCCACTGTTCATATCCTCCCTGGTGAATTTGATGAGTCGGTCCACCGAGTTAATGTGATCCGTGAATTGTGGTACGTCCTGAGATTTGATTTTCACCCAGGTGTCATCCACTTATCTGAACCAATGACTTGGTGGTGTTCCAGGGTAGGATAGCAAAGCCCTCTTTTCCACTTCTTCCATGTACAAATTGGCCACGATGGGTGAAACTGGGGAGCCCATGGCACACCCATGTTTCTGTCTGTTGAACTGACCCTTGTATGTGAAGTAGGTGGAATGAAGACACAGTTCAAACACACTTGGTCGATGCTGAAAGCGGTCCTGCTGCTGAGGTTGGGGTCATCCTGTAATCTCTTACGAACTACCTCCAACGCTTCTGTGACTGGAATAAGTCAAAATGGGGAGATTACTGTTGTTGTCTCAGGACAAACTACCTTGTTTGCTACACTCTGTGTTTATGAGCTAAAAGCAAAATCATTTCCTTGTAAAACTGATTCTGAAGTATGATTTTACTAACTCAGAGGGTACAGCTGTTATCTCCACATTTCAACCTTTTTCTCCAAATAGAATTACGAATAGAATAATTTTTTCTTAATGTGGACTGATACTCCTTTGAATGAGTGCCGGGGTCCATATGTGGCGGTTGCGGTTCTCCAGCATCTAGCTAACGCTACAATAGTGGAGCAAACATAAAGGGAGAGTTTATCATCTCGTTATATGAGATTGGAAAGCGAACAGAACAGCGTGAACCCACCAAAATAATGACATTTCCTATTTTTGTATTTATAGAATACAATTTATTATCACTTTAAACAGACATAAAAGCATTAAACATATTTTGTTACCTCTCACAGCTTTGTTTGACTCCAGATTTACAGACTATATTTATGCACCAATTGACCACAAAAATTATGCTGCTTCAATCATTCACTAGTGATTTACAAAATTAGTATTAAACATAACTATTTTGGTATTTTAGGAACAGCTAGATTTATAGAAACAGGGACGAGAAATCCTCTTTTAACTACATAATAAAAGCAGAAGCTTAAATGCAAATGTTTGGCTCACCTCACTGTTAAATATTGTATCCCTTTTATACACGGTGTAAGAAATGACAATACTGAACACTAATACAAAACCCCGTTACTGCTGAGAGAGCAGTGAGCACCTCTGAATATTCATCACAGCAGCTACAAAGAAAAGAAAGAGACAAAACAAAGTTACACAAGAGCACAACAGACAATGACACCCAAAAACAACCTCCGCCCCACCTCAAAAAAACAATTGCTTCATGGTATCTTAGGAAAGGTAACCTTTTACACAGATAAGATATGACTTTACAAGACTTGGATAAAACTGGATAATGTACTAGATAATGTCTGATGTCAGGGTTCAAGTCAGCTGATGGCTATCGCTGGGATAGACAGAGATCTTATCTCACCAATATACTGCAGGGACAGCTGAATTCACCTTCAACTTAGCCACCCTAGCAGAATCCAGTCATCTTTATTGCAAACGATTAGTTTTTAGTCCAACAGACAAAAGGCTGAAAATGTTTCCATGTAATAAACATTAGGCTGTGTTCAGCTTCTGTTCAGACTTCATTAAAATGCAGATGCAGCTGTTTCATTGTGACTGTACACCGCGGACACCAGAGAAATGTTCTTGTTTCCTTTCAGTCTTAATCACTTGACATTTATCAGTAACAGTAACATGTTAATGTACTAAAGTACTAAAAAGTACTTCATGTTTCACATATAAGTTACTGAGACCCATCTAGTGCTGGATGAACCCTGCTGAACAGAACAAAACGGAGTCATGTGAGCATTTACCTGAAAGACTGCGAGCTTGCTCTCAGTGTTCTGCATCCATCAAAGTGACACAAGCGTTTACTTCAGCAGTGGCAGTAAATAACCTCCAGGCAGCGTCTTGGTTCTGCGGTCACGTTAAAAGCTGCCATGCTCTGGTCCTAACACATGATGAACACGATAAAGACATGCAGCACCAGCTGAGGTTTCTCGTGTCTCTTAAACTGAACTTTTTAATGCACGTTGGTGAAATAGTTTAAATCATAAATTGTCTTTGAAGACTGTGTTTGGTGTAAGTCTTGAAACATGTGGAAACATACATAAAAATGTTAATTTTACAGTACTCGATACAGTTATAGATCCAGAGGGTAGATTTCTAATTATTAAACTATCAATATTGAACAAAAAACTATGTATTGTTAGTATATATGGTCCAAATGTTGATGAACCCTCATTCTTCCACGGATTTTTTAGTGCA